TGGGTGTTCTAAGTTCGACGCCAAAAAAAAAAAAAAAAAAAAAAACAAACACAGGCGCCATGAAAAAAAATACAAATGTGTATTTTGAAAAGAAAATACCACCACAGACAAGACGATCAGGTTAACAGACAAATTTACCTGATCATATATGATCATATCTCTAAAGGCATTCTCATCAGCGCATAGGCGTCGCAGATCTTCGCTTCTCATGGTATCATTGACTTCTAACCGAAAATTCATATCACCGAGCCAAAAAATTGCATCATGATCGAATAGGGTTTTGTTGCTTTTTGGAAATCGTATTTGCGAAATTTCCCTGAAAAATTACAGCGATAAATTCTTGAGATCCTGTAACAATTTAAAAAAAAAAATAATTAAAGATGTTGTTTCTTGGAATCGATTTAACCAGACCTGTAATCTTGATTCCGCTTCTCCAGTTCTTCTTGACCTGCCGCAAAGTGTGAGTTCACAAAACATATACAGCTATCGTTCAATTGCAAGCTTATCGCAACACCACCCTTAAACAGTTAAAATTTTTCTTTTCCATTTCAGCCGCTTAGAAAATTAAATTTCATCTTTTTACGTTTTTTTTATTTCTTTTTTTTTACATTTCTTTACAATTCCACTTTTTTTTTACATTTTTTCGCAGAATTTCCCGTAAATTCTAAGAAAAGCTGATCTTAACTTCATCCTTGCCCTGATCATCTCCTCGACGTATTTCTGTACTTTAAACTCATCTGTTCATATTAAAATTGGTTTTGCTGTATTCCCCACTTTTGATTTTAACTTTTATTTTTATGATGATAATTTTTGATTCTCTAATTTAATTATTTCCCAAATGAAACGATTTGCCTCAAGGGGTTGTCTTTACTCATAACCGTGATGAATTTTGCCTTCAAAAAAAACACACTGAATTGGCGCATTTATCCTGCGCCTGATTCTCTTCTTTTTTAATCAAATTCGTGGCATAAAGCACCTTTATTTAAGTGAAGAAAGTATTATATTGCGAATTTTTTTTTAAGAAAAACAGTTCTTTTCCATTACAAGAATCTAACCTTATTACCCATACGACCAAGCAATGGGAAACCCGTTGGCACAACCTCGACCTCGGTCGCTGCCTCATTCACCTTAATCCCACAATCAATCCGACGATAGATCATTAAAAGTATGCCCACCAGACGTACTTCTTTCACCTGCAACAAACACAAATGTGGCTGAAAGATGCAGCAGAAACTACGTACGGCTTTGTGAAGCAGCAGCACTTTTGCAAGAGAAATTTTTTGGGGAAATTCGAGAAAATAACAAACCAAAGCGTAGCGAGCAGTTGTAGGAAGTGATTTTTTGGTTACAATTTGCCATTCGAAATGGCGCGCCGAAGTATTCATAAGAAATGCTTGTGGTGAGAGGTCCATTTCTTGCAACCTAAAAAAGTAAAATTTCTTTTTCACCAAGTGCTATTTGAACTCTTTTTTGAAGCTCATTCATAAATGGAAGGATTACTTGAACGGTACCAATGGAAAGGACGGTATATCGATGGCGAGAGGGGATCAAAAAAGACCTTTGTCGTAGCCAAACTAAAAAAAAAAGATCTTTAATGTCTCAAAAAAGATCTTTAATGTCCCGGAACTCAAAATTTTACAGCCCCGTTCGTGTAAAAAATTACCAAAAATATCAAGATAGTCCGTGTTAACAGTGTAGGAGTTCCGTATTTTTGATGTTACTGAGATGCATTCACACACACACACTGAACGCATTTATGCCAGGCTCTTCGATCCTGAGCTGCAAACCTCCAGTTAGTACCCACTGTCTGTTCAGGCAAAAATTATCATGAAATGATTCAAAATTTTTTAGTTTCTGTATAGGTTGCCATTTTTTTTGGAGTGACAGTCACCGCCTGCTTCTAACTGCAAACCCTAACTGTACCACAGGACATTTTGTTCTGTCCTAATCACTCACACACAGAGAACTATAGCTGTTTTGGACAAATCACTTTGGACCATAGGCGGATCTAGGGTGGTCTAGTGGAGAGGCAGAGAAGGGGGACGACAGACGGTATCGAACACAGTTTCCC